TCCCTGTGTCCCGCATCTTTAAGGCCCGCTCGGACGATGACAACAGGAGATTTGACCGGAGGAGGAGAAGGCTCCCTGTGTCCCGCATCTTTAAGGCCCGCTCGGACGATGACAACAGGAGATTTGACCGGAGGAGGAGAAGGCTCCCTGTGTCCCGCATCTTTAAGGCCCGCTCGGACGATGACAACAGGAGATTTGACCGGAGGAGGAGAAGGCTCCCTGTGTCCCGCATCTTTAAGGCCCGCTCGGACGATGACAACAGGAGATTTGGCCGAGGCGGAGAAGGTTCCCTGTGTCACGCATCTTTAAGGCCCGCTCGGACGATGACAATAGGAGATTTTACCGAGGTGGAGAAGGCTCCCTGTGTTCCGCATCTTTAAGGCTCGCTGGAGTGAAAACAAAAGCCGGTGAGGCTTAGAGTGTTTGTGTGTCTGTTTTTTAAGGCCCGCTCGAGTGAAGAATCCGATCGAAGATGGAGAGGACTTTCTGTGTCCCTCTTTATTAATAAATCCCGTGCAGGGCGAGAATTTTTTTTTGTTTATTAAGTTTGTTTATGAAGTTCGGTATGAGATTGAACTAAATTTTGTGTCCCTAACGTGCATTTTATTACGACCAGATATATTTATAGATTTCCGTCTTTCTTTATTACTAGTTGTTGTAATATTGCATCTCTTAGTTTAGATAGTAATAATACGGCGAGTTTCGAATAGCTGAATTTGGAATATTCAGAGGTAATTATGAATATTTTCATCGTGCGAGTTAGGAAGAACTCGACTGGACAAGTGATGTTGGTCACTTGTGGAGTAGGATTCTTTCCAACTCTTGGTGGAACTCTGAAGCAGTCACCTCCACGTGGTGAGTTCTGGGCTGTCGTTCGTCTGGAAATGACGAACGGCAGGCGAAGAGCTGCTTGTTCCATTTTTATCCATTCGTCCACTGCTGCATTTCTTATGCCGTTTGACGTTGAAAACCCAAAGTCTAGAGAGATTGCGGCCGACGTTTTCAACGCGAAAACGTGTACGTCGGACGTTAAGCGCCGCCTTCCTGTAAGCCTAGAAGTTTGACAATGGCGTTTGGAACGTCAGTAGAATCACGCTCGACGTCCCAAACGCTATTGTCAAACTTCTAGGCTTACAGGATGGCGGAGCTTGACCCTTCATGATTCGATGAAAGTTTGCAGGGATACCTAAGATTTTGCAAATAATTTTACACATTTTTTTTTGCTCTTAAATAAATGTCTTTTAATAATTATATAAGAAGTTAAGGCCCTCTTTTCTCAGGCCCCGCAGGACGAAAATAGCATTAAAAAAATTTGCATGGGGACACTTATGATTCGAAAACGATCGGATATTTTATATTATGTTACGCCTTCGTCAATAGTGTGCTACTTTTATAACACTAATATACACATTAATTTTTTTCGAAAAAAAATAAATAATGAAAAAAAACTACTTGGTCAGATTTGGCAGCATGTTCGAAGATCGAAACACGGAGCGATGCTTTATGTCAAATTCGCGTTAGTGTCGGTTAGGAATTTATGATCTTTATGTACAAATTTTGCGAAATTTTATTGACAATTATATGAAATTATTCTATTCTGAAAGGTAAGAGAGAGAAAGAAAGATTCGTGCATTTAATTAATAGTAATTAATAAATTTTTTAAATAATGACTTGACACGTGGTAATGTTTATTAATTAACTAACCATTAGTTAGTGGCTTAGACTTGATAGAAGTACCCAAATAGAAAAGAATTTAGTAGCGTTGTGCTTCCACATTTGTATCTACAGTTTAATTTTTCGTCTATTGTTATAGTACGTTTTTTTTATTCCCACGTGGAAACGTAATAAATTTTGAATGAGAGCACGTGTACTTAGACTTGTTATAAATTTTCGCGGTAAACGTGACTTAGACGAAAAGTTGTGTGTGTGTGTGTTCGCTAATATACGGTTATATATAATTGCTAATAATCACTAATGTAGTATAAAGAAATTAATTTAAAAATAGGGAAATTAATACTGATAAAAACATCAGTAAAAAATATATATATTATACATAGAAATTGATTGCAATGACCATTCACCCTATAGTGGATAGTCTACGAAATCAAACGACGCCTGTTGAACCCGGTTGCGCACTCGGGATTTTTACAACCCAGACTGTATGCAGCAGTTCTAGCAATGCTTATACATTTCCCTGCTTATCCAATAGGCATGTTTGAGAATGTCCTGTCGCTGTCGTGTCGTGTTCGGTTATTTCTCTGCGACATATATCTTTTCACTTTTAGAATGTTTTTGAGCCTAGAAAAGATAGTCACGGGGCCGAATCTGTAGAGTGCGGTTGATGGGAACTAAAGGGATGTTGCATTTGGCCAAAACTTCTGACACTCGGGGCTTCGTGACATGATGCATTACTATAGCATAATAACCAGTTACCAGAATGCCATTTGTGAATGGTTCTGTAGAAAGTGGTCCCCGACTGGTATTCTGCCGAGCACTGATGGACCATCAGTGTATGTAGCTTATTTGCTTTTTCTCACTCATTGGGGGTTTTTTATTCTGATGTTAAACCAAACATGAAATGATTGCTATCAATAAATAATCAACAATATATAATGTTGTCCTTTGTGGAAAATTGAATTCAAAACTGCTCTTAATCAGTTTTTATGAAATATATCATAAGATGTAACAATTGCAGCCAGAGCTTTATTAGCTTGGAATATTTCTGATACGTAATAGCAAATTTTTACTAAATTTAATTTCTGCCAGTGTTTTTTAATGATTATTGCTCATACCTATCCAAGTATAAATGAAATCATGGTTTAGAAATCACCTTTTTTAATATATTCTATTAAGAAATCTTAACAATACTTATTAATTGTACTAACAAATGATTCAAGTGTCAATGACCTTCAGATTCAATCTTGTTCCGTTGACATAAGTATAAGTTATATTATGATACTGAAGAAGATATTGAAAATTCAGTAGCAAAAAAAAAAAAAAAAAAAAACTTTATTTACTATAAGATATTTAAAGGTTATGACATATTAGTCTGACAAATTCTCAATCATTAATATAACAATGAAATGAGTATAAATTAGAATCATTTGTGGTTGCTTTTTTCTCAGGTTCATCTTTTTCAGAAATTATTTTAGGGTATCATCACACAGAACCCTTGAGATCCAAATGAAATCATACCGAAAAAGATTATTCATTTCATAGTAGATTGAGTAGACCTTGCAGCAGGAAAGAACAAATTCCAACTTGTGTCATTATGCAGTTTGCAAATATGTTGCCTCATCCGTTCCAGTTGTAATAATTCTTAATGTTAAATTCTTTTCTGTTAGGTTACTTTTATTTGTATGCCACTAATTACAAAAAATAGATCTGCAATTTGCAAAACAGTTCAAGAATATTATCAATGTAAAATGCAAATAGGTAAACATTTAATGCATTAATTTATAAAAATGAGATTAGATTTTAAAGAACAGTTTCATTTATTATTTGAGAATAAGAGAGAGATTTTCTAATTAATAATGAATCAGAATTATGAAACAAAATAATCATACAGAAATGAGTACACAATGCACCAATTAAGTAATGAGGCTGATGATACTATAAAAAATAAATAATGCTAATAGCAAAATAAAGTTATATATTTTCTAAATCATCATTTCTAATATCTATATAACATATCTTTTATAAAAGTTTTGAAAACACTTCTGGAACTCTTCTTTTAATACTGTTTTTAGCTAGCTGGTCATTGGAGCCTGGATGCCATCTGTAATCACATATTGCATTTCTTTCATGGCTCTTTTGATTTCAGGGAATAGAAAATAATTTTCAGGAGCCAAATCTGGAGTGTAGTTCAATGACTTTCAACTTACGACAGAAATGTTTGAGTATATTGTCATACAATAACAGTTTTTATAGTCAAAATTTAATTTTTTTCTTGATGAATCCGATCCCATAACCTCTTCAACACTTCATCTTAGAACTTTTTCATCACTATTGTTTTTGAGGCATAAATTCTCAATGGCTAATGCCTGTTATATCAAAGATGATCATTATCATGGCTTTTCACTTGATGTTTTTAACAAGTTTTTTTTTTTTTTGATGGGAGAGGATGGCAAATACCAGTTTGAGCTCTGATGTTTGTTGGGCTGCAATTTTCAAGTTGTCCTATAAATTCTCATTGGCATCCATCCACTTGTCTGCCCTTCCTTAATCCCAAGAACAGAGTAAGATAGAGGAAAGTTGAGACCAGATATGGAAAGCCCTTTACGAAAATGAAAAAACTATTGAAATACGCTTGTTTAAGATAAACATTCATCATCATAAATTTTTTTCAAATTGGAAAGAATTTTCATTGTAATTTTCCCATATATAAACTCAAAACCTGATATTATTAATAAGGTGACCAACTTTTTTATAATGAAAAGGAGGACACAAATAAATTGAAGGAAAAAATATTGTAAATAAAAGAAACATTTTATTCATTGCAATAGTAATACACTATAATAATCTCTACTCCATGCATATGTGCCGTGTTGTGTTTCAATAAGATGTAAACAAAGCTACTTGTGTGTGGTGTGCTGTCTCAAGGTCTTCCTTGTGGAGCGCATGTTGTCTCATAATTGCATCTCGCCACACTATCCCGAGCCATGATGAATTGTCATGTCACATAAGATCACATGCAATGGATTGGCTCGGCATCGATCAAATACATAGATTTACAGATTAGTCTTCAAGTATCGAAAAGGAGGTCACTTTTTGAGGGAGGACAGAACTTACGAAAGAAGGACTGTCCTCCCTAAAGGAGGATGATTGGTCACCTTATTATTAATCAAAGCCAAACAATCGTAATAATGAAACAGGTTCATTATTATTGCCTGATTCATTAAGGTGATCATTTGGCTTTTACTTTTCTCAATTTTCAATAAAATTTGACAACTGTTCTTTGCTCCGTTTTCAATTTTCTGATGACATGCATAAAACTATTATTACTCTTTCCATCATAAATCATGACCAAATTTTATCAGACAAGTTTCAATTTGCACTTGTTGTAACAAGCATACACTAATAAATCTAACCATGTATATTATTTTGGCCTCTTATATTAATACTAAATGTAGAGTGCATTCAGTATCATCATTTAATTGGCACACTGTAAATACAAAAAGGCTGTTAATCAAGCTATCCAACAATTATTTGCTGTTATTCTTGAACAATGTTGCAAAGTGTGATCAATTTTTCTATTATAAAAATATTTACTGATCAGTTATCTGCAAACACATTGTTATAATATATTTTAATTAGTAAATTAATTAATATTGTTATTTTTGTCTTATCATTTTTTTATTCTGCATGTTTGAAGATGACATTATCAGGAAAATGTCAGATAGTCTTGAACATCAAGACACCTGATGAGATTAAAGAAGAATCATGGACTGCAGTAACTCTCATCAAGGAATTGAACACACCAGAGTCATCAATAATGTGGTGTGCGGAAAGGCGTCTGTTGACAAATGAACGCCACTGCACCTCGTGCAGCAAGTCGCTTTGTTTGACGGCAAATAAGAGTGTCATTGACAAATATCAGTGGCGTTGTAAGAAGTGTTCTGTTGTAGAATCCATTCGTAAAAAATCTGTCTTTCAAAATTGTCATTTAACTATTTTACAAATTATAATAATTATGTATTTTTGGTCAAGAGAGTATCCGTCCAGAATAGCTGCAGTGGAAGTTGAAGTGAGTAAAAAAGTGGCCATAGATTGGTATAATTTCTTTAGAGATATCTGCAAAAATTACTTTGATTCCCATCCAGTTCAACTAGGAGGTTTGGATGATAATGGATTTCCAAAGGTAGTAGAAGTGGATGAGACATTTATTTTCCATAAGAATCATAATTGTGAACAAACTAAAAATGATAGAAAATGCGTATTTGGAGGCATCGAACGTGATTCGCGAAAGTGTTTCCTAGTGGAAGTACCAAACCGGAAAGCTCAAACACTTTTTCCAATTATAGAACAATATGTATTGCCTGGAAGCAGGATTATATCGGATGACTGTTCTGCATATGCCAAAATTGGCCAAATAAATGATGGGATATATCAGCACGATAGCGTCCACGAACGAGATTTTGTGGATGGCATAGATCCAGAAATCCACACTCAACACATTAAAAATATGTGGTCAAGAGCAAAACAAAAATTAAAACATCAATATTATAAAAATACCAAATTATTTCAACCTTATTTATTAGAATTTCAATGGCGATGTTTGTTTAAAACTCATGCTTTTGAAAACTTTTTAATGTGTGTTTCAAATAAATATCCATGTTAATTTTTTAATTGTCTTTTTTTATGATGGAATTTGTACATCTTATATGTGTTCAATATTGATCATCTGATTTATCCCAGTCAAGATTCTCCTAAATTAATAGCTAATTAGATTTCAGTTTGCATCAACATTATTTGATGATTCTCCATTTACTTTTAAGTAATGAACATAACAATGACTATAGAGTAAGTAAAAGTTTATATTATATTTAATATTCATAAATCATATTTATATATTTTGAATAATTGTTGTTTTTAACATTTCATTGGCAATTACATAAAATATTATTTAGAAAGCTGATTTGGTTGCCAAACAAAATGTTTACTGGTTCTAACATATACATTAGCTTTTTTGAAGTAAACAAACAGCAATTGATGGCAAAAGTAGATCATTTACTACAAATTATGGCCATTTTTCATCTACATTAAAAACATTATGTAGATCAAATGTTACTATTTTATTTTATACCAGGGCTGTGGAGTCGGAGTCGTGGGGTTTTGGTGTTTTAGCCGGAGACGGAGTCGGTAGATTTTTACGCGACTCCACAGCCCTGTTTTATACAAGTAGAAAGGAATACGTTTCTATTAGAAGAAAAATTAAGCAATTTAAAGTTAGAAATTAAAATAATATACTAAATTAATATCTCAAGGTACACGCTAGCCTTATATTTCTCCCAGCAGGATGGAAAAAATTAACATAAATGTGAGAAAACTAAGACAAAACAAACTCATTTGGTCTACTACTAAGACCTGAAGCAGGTCTTAGAAGACCAAATAAATAATTGATTTTAATAATTATATAATATAAATTTAGGATTTTTAATTTTTCCATCCTGTAAGGTTAGTGTGTTTGTTATTTTAATTAACTGCCTGGTTGCTATAAGATTAGAACTTTAAAATTTAATATTGTTTTGTCTTTTGGGCATTAGGAGGGCCTTTTAATACGCACATCATGGATTTGGCTGGGTCTACAATGAGACAGCTGCATGATTAGAAATAAAGTCAGACTACCCATGAAAATTCCATAGGATCTAACTCAGACTCAAATCTTGGTCCTTCAGAGTGGCAGTTACATATCTGAACCACTTCAATCACATTCATTAAATTTAATTCAGCTTTGATATATAAATCCATGATTCTTAACCTGTTCATGTCTTAATGAATTCTCTTGTTACATTTCAAGTAAAATGACACCAAGCATGATCCCAGCTGTATTAAATCTTGTTGTATAAACATCTGCCAAGATTCTACATTAACTGATTTTATTGATCAAAATGTATAGCAGTAAATTTTAACAGTACAGAATAGTTAATATACAATTGATTGAAAGAAATAGCATTTTCTTCTGCCTCTGTATTAAATCAAAATCATTCTGTTATGAGCATGCTTTCTAACATGCATTCATTTAAATAGAATAAGCCTTAAAAAATATCAAGTGTGTGACAGATCTATTTTTGATTTTATTTCCGTATTAGACATACTATTTTTATCCTTTACTTTAAATTATTTTTCTTCCCCTTAAAGGGATCATAGTCTCAATTGAATGGCAGTGATTTTTATAAGGAAGAGAAGAGACAATATGAAATATGTAAGTATTTAGCTTCCAATTTTTCTCTTAAAATAAATTACATATTTATCTGAAAATTTGTTTATAGGCATTTCCTATATCTGTGAATAAAGTTTAATGTAAGTTTGCTAATCAAGTTGTCCAGTAAGAATCTACAGAGTTGCTGCTACTGTTGTCAAACTGATATGAATTAATACATCCGGTCCAATGATACTTGCTTGGATGAGTAAAATATTTTCTTTTTTTATATAATTTTGAGTATTTATTCAACAATGGAAGTTTTCTGAAAAATAAGAAATATATTTGTGAATAAATATTTATTATGGAACAAGTTTAACTTTGTATTTTAATGAACTTTGATATGCAGTTAAAGCTAAAATATTTTCCAAACTGATCAATATATAAACTTTTTTCTATACGATGATGATATGCAAATAATACTACCTAATTTCTCAGATATTATATTGTAACAATAATAGTAAAGACTGTACAGAATTACTTTATTGCATAAAATTACTTTGCAAATGTTAATCTGAATGTTACCTGTTCCACAAAATGAGCAACATTTCTGGATTTGGCATAACGCAAATTCATATTAGTTATTATTTACTGACATATTATACTAAACTGCATCAACTTGCAAATAAGTCTTGAACTTCAATTCTTTCAATCTGATAACAAAGTTTAGAACAGTTCTAGATTATAGATTTGAATCCTGGATAATTATTAAATTTAATGAGAGAGATAACTCCTAACGCCTACCTCTAATATCAAATTACTTAAAATTTAATTATTAATGGTAGCGAAAAATAGTCCGACGCATTACGGAAGTCATTTGGCTCTGATTAATAACATTGGGTTTTGAGATGTTTATATTCGTATCCTGCTTTGGACATGAATGTTTATCAGAGTTTAATGTATAAAATGTATATATAAAACTTGAAATTTTTGTTGATTTGTTTAATGTTCTACTTTTATATAACAAAACTAGTTATGATCAGAAATGTATTTTGATAGTTTTTAAATTACTATTTGAAGATTTTACAAATCTTGAATGCTAAAATTTTTTTATATATAATACTTTTCACTTTGTGTTTTTAACATATACATATGTCTGGACAACCAAGATGCTTTACCATGTTGTAGAAGTATCGGCCTTCCACTCTGGGGATGCAAGTTTGAGTCTGGGTAGACACAGATATATCAAGCCATATCTTTCATTATTCGGCCTTCCCATTGAGTTTGGCCAAATTCAAAATGGACATGGAAGAAGAGTCTCTTAGTGATTATAGGATGGAAAAAGTTTTAAAAAATTAAAACAAATATAATCAATTATATTAATACATATTGTTTAAATTGTTCACCAAAATTAGATTTAATTCATTGATACCTCTGTATACCGACAGAAAAAGAATAAATCAAATAAGAATTAATAATAATTTTTTATTAAACATAAATCAAAATTAAAACTTGTGTAAAGTTTTTTTTTTCTTTTTTAGAATTGATTTTATTCTCTTCATTTCATTTACAAAATATTCAACTATTAAAATGTTTTATTAATAGTGTTTGTTTACAAGAAAAAGAAATTAAATTTCTTATTACGCATTAACAAAGCAATATTTAAGGGCATTTATTGCTTTCTCCCATTCGTCGTCATCTATCTCTGGAAGATCCTGCACAAATTTAATTAATTTTGTTACAAAATTAAATTTAATATTAAAATAATAATCGATTAATACGATAACTTACTTTACGATACTCTTGAATGCATTTATTAACCTTAATAAAAAATTTAAATTTAGATTAATTGTAATCTTAACCATTAGATAAATGCAAATTACAATATTTTAAGTCAATTATATAATGACTTACATTTTTATCATTGAATATATCTGAATCACATGTATATGTGATAATTGCTTCTGATTTTTCAGGATAATGGTAATATTCGTTGACGCATTGATCGTAAATATCACTCAGCTATATTTTTGGATATAACTATAAAAATTCTAAATTCTTAGACGGATGAAAACTGGATAAAAGATTATACAGACCTCATCCATAATTTCTGGGCTTCTAGAAATAGAACACTCAAGAATTCTTGTTTGAAAATCATCAGGTAGAGCTGCAAAAACATATTTCTTTTTTTAAGAGATATCCAACGCTTGGTTAAATTTAAAACTGTGTAAATTCTTACTGCAATATGCTGCTTTTGCTTCATCTAACTGGAAAGCGTAAGCAGTACAAAAATGTGTTACAATTAAACTAAATGTAAGAAAGTGCTTCATGATGTCTGCTTCTTAAGAAAGAAATATAAAACAGAAATGTATTGTATAGGAAATAATTAAAGATTAACTATATCTTTTACAGGATGTTGTTAGTAGATATCTCTCAGTTAGAAATGAATGTACCGTACGTGTGCTGTTTCTTTAGATAAAAATTAAAAAATTCTGCGTGATTAAAAAAATATATTTATTTTGTTTTAATAACTGATTGAAAAGTCTTCTGAATTATTCTTAATTTCAGAAGAAAAAAAATAAGGCAACAAATTGTGATGCTTTGCTTAATTTTTATAAAATATACTGTATTAATAAAGAAACTCCCAAATATATTTGCTTTTTTATTTAATAAGATATAAAAATTACATACTTTTATTAAAATTTAAGTCATAATTAAATTCATATACATTTTATTCATTGATTCATCACTGAATGTTGATTTTTCTTCCTGTAAGATGACTGAGTTTTCTCTTAGAGTACAAATATTTTTAAGGTTGATGGGCTAAGGCAATGCAACATGAATGCAATCGGCCAAGGTGAGAAGGGTGCTTCCCAGGAGGAAACTTGCTGCTATTTAAGGATTAGACATGTAAAGAAAACTTTTGAAAACTCCATACAGCTAGGCGTAAATTTGTAACCAATTACCGGGTAGAAATTAACTTGAATATTCCTGTATGATACTACAACTTCTTAATCATTTGAACTTTTCTATGAAACACAGTGATATTTTTATAAATTGTAGGAATATGTTGGTAATTGACCTCAAAAAAATTATAAATATGCCACTATGCTGATTACAGGATTATTCTATGATAATGATTGCCATTTTTTGTTTAATTTTTATTATACTAGTGAGGATCTGAATGAGTTAAAAGTGTGTCAAAAACATTTAATCACAAATAATACTCAGGTACTTAAAGGTTTAGTGTTTCATTGATTTTACTTGTATTTAATGTGTTTGAATTTAACTTCTGGGATCTACTTCTAGCCTTTCTTTGTTGAAATAGTGATTGTTACCAGCACATTCATTTCCGTCAAAAGTGAAATAGGACTCATCATCCATAACCATGATGCCTTCAGACCATTACGCAGAAGGAATTTTTTGAGTAGCAAGTTGTTTCATTGTATATTTTGGAGAAAACTTTTGCTTCTTGTGTGCCACTTCAGGTTTCTTCAGAATGTGGCGAACATACAATCTGGTGTGAAATTTTCAATTTTCTTCCCAATTTTCTAAGCATTTGCCCAAATTTTTCTAAGGTTTCTCCCCTCAATTGTTTTCTCTTCCTTTGTTATTTTTCTTCTCTTTTCACCACTTTCCGTCCTTTTTACAGGTTTTTAGTTCTGAATGATGCTATACATTTTGCTGTGGAATCCCCAGAGCAATGATACAGATATTTTTAACTGTATAAGCTTTCTAATTTTTGCAATTTTCAGTATAAAATCTGCCAGTTACGTTTCGATCGAATTAATTTAATCCTTTCATTTTTAAAATGGAACATTATTTATGTAAACTTTTTCGATAAATGGAATCGAGAACATTCTAGAAAAAGGTATGCTATCTTGTCACATGCAATTATTCGAAATTACTGGAAAATGCTACTGAAATTTTGCAGATTTTTTAGTATACACTCATATCTTTACAGACTTCCATTCTGTTCATACAAAATATTCAAAATATTATATGAATACTACTAATCTAATGTCTTACTTTGTCCCTATTTAAACTTTCAATTAGCATTAATTCTTCTATGAATTATTTTTACATAAAATTGTTTTTTTATTTGAATTTTTGTGCTCCCAAACTCTTGCACCTCTATTCAAGGACCAAGTAGACGTATTTCTCTAATGACCCTGGCTTGGAGCCCAGAACCCTAAATGGCTAAATCCAGAACTGTTTTTGATGCAACATTATATCACAAAGACACACAAACTACATAGATTTTATAAATTTGTTATATCCTCCTTTGTATTAAATCTTTTAAACCTCGTTCTAAGATTTCGCTTTTAAGTAAGATACAGAAGAAGTTATGTAATTGAACCCGGAATCTTACATTAGTCAATTACCTTTTATAAATGTATTATTTCAAAATGCTTTACTACATTAACTGTAAAAGTTTTTAATTCGATACATTTATTTTAAATAATTATCTGGAGAATTCTGGCATGCGTGTTGTGGGTTTAATAAGAGATTGGACTTCTGTGCAATCTCTTATTAAACAGTCGCACGGAGGCCAGAGTGAGATGGTGAAATACCTTGAACAAGTATGAACAAGCACACAGAGTTTTAACTGTGTAGTGCTATTAGTTTGGTGTGAGGAACTGTTTGAAATAAATGTATTTTTTTCATGCATCAGAAAAACGACAAGCTTGAAAATAGAGGTGTGTATCAACATAAAATTTTTTGATGAAATCGAAGAAAATTGACACAGCATCTTTTCACCTGCTACGTGAAGCTCCCACATGCATGTCTTGCATATGTGTGTTCAAATGACACAAGATTTTCTGCACGTCGAAGACAATGACCTTACTGGACGCCCCAGCACATCAAAAACCAACTAAAACACGTAAAAAGTCAATGAAATTGTTTGAAATGATCAAAGACTGAGCATAAAAATAATTGCAGAAATGACAAACATTGATTACATTATATATAAGGCTGGTAACAAGCGGTTAAGATTGCAGCCTACTGCCGTGGGGATCCAGAATCTATACAGCAGTGGTCGGCAACTGGTGGTCCGCAAGAAAATTTGGGTGGTCCATGGAGAAATTTGGACATTGATCAACTGAAGGTTATGTGAAATATTACAAAAGAAATGCAAAATGCTTAGTTGCTTTTTTCATTCATTGGGATTTTTCTATTTGAATTTAAAACCAAATACGAAGTGACTGTTATAAAAAAATAATGAACAATAAACAATATTGTGAGTGCAATTGTCATCCTACGTGGAAAAGCACTATGAATCCATAAACTTATTTCAAACAAGCAGTAACGAACTTTAGGCTTGCATCAATTTGTTATAATTAAACAAGGGAGTATCATATTAATAAAGTAAAATTGAACTTTTATGATCATTATTCTACAGAGTTTGTATCATTTAAAAATCTCATGATAATGGTCCATGGAATTGAAAACTGTGAGTTTAGTAGTCTGTGAGGTCAGAAAGGTTGCCGACCGCTGCTATACAGGACTGGACGACGAAAAACCCAGGAATTTGTTGGAGTTAGTCCATCCGGATATGTCGGGTCTCGTTCTTTACCACCAAGCTGCTCCGTTGTGGGTCTGGATGAACTCACAAAGGGTATGTCAAATAAATCAGGAAACTCTTTTATAAGTTTATAAAAGAGTTTTCTCATTATAAAATTAAAAAANTCCATGTTAATTTTTTAATTGTCTTTTTTTATGATGGAATTTGTACATCTTATATGTGTTCAATATTGATCATCTGATTTATCCCAGTCAAGATTCTCCTAAATTAATAGCTAATTAGATTTCAGTTTGCATCAACATTATTTGATGATTCTCCATTTACTTTTAAGTAATGAACATAACAATGACTATAGAGTAAGTAAAAGTTTATATTATATTTAATATTCATAAATCATATTTATATATTTTGAATAATTGTTGTTTTTAACATTTCATTGGCAATTACATAAAATATTATTTAGAAAGCTGATTTGGTTGCCAAACAAAATGTTTACTGGTTCTAACATATACATTAGCTTTTTTGAAGTAAACAAACAGCAATTGATGGCAAAAGTAGATCATTTACTACAAATTATGGCCGTTTTTCATCTACATTAAAAACATTATGTAGATCAAATGTTACTATTTTATTTTATACCAGGGCTGTGGAGTCGGAGTCGTGGGGTTTTGGTGTTTTAGCCGGAGACGGAGTCGGTAGATTTTTACGCGACTCCACAGCCCTGTTTTATACAAGTAGAAAGGAATACGTTTCTATTAGAAGAAAAATTAAGCAATTTAAAGTTAGAAATTAAAATAATATACTAAATTAATATCTCAAGGTACACGCTAGCCTTATATTTCTCCCAGCAGGATGGAAAAAATTAACATAAATGTGAGAAAATTAAGACAAAACAAACTCATTTGGTCTACTACTAAGACCTGAAGCAGGTCTTAGAAGACCAAATAAATAATTGATTTGTCTCAAGGTCTTCCTTGTGGAGCGCATGTTGTCTCATAATTGCATCTCGCCACACTATCCCGAGCCATGATGAATTGTCATGTCACATAAGATCACATGCAATGGATTGGCTCGGCATCGATCAAATACATAGATTTACAGATTAGTCTTCAAGTATCGAAAAGGAGGTCACTTTTTGAGGGAGGACAGAACTTACGAAAGAAGGACTGTCCTCCCTAAAGGAGGATGATTGGTCACCTTATTATTAATCAAAGCCAAACAATCGTAATAATGAAACAGGTTCATTATTATTGCCTGATTCATTAAGGTGATCATTTGGCTTTTACTTTTCTCAATTTTCAATAAAATTTGACAACTGTTCTTTGCTCCGTTTTCAATTTTCTGATGACATGCATAAAACTATTATTACTCTTTCCATCATAAATCATGACCAAATTTTATCAGACAAGTTTCAATTTGCACTTGTTGTAACAAGCATACACTAATAAATCTAACCATGTATATTATTTTGGCCTCTTATATTAATACTAAATGTAGAGTGCATTCAGTATCATCATTTAATTGGCACACTGTAAATACAAAAAGGCTGTTAATCAAGCTATCCAACAATTATTTGCTGTTATTCTTGAACAATGTTGCAAAGTGTGATCAATTTTTCTATTATAAAAATATTTACTGATCAGTTATCTGCAAACACATTGTTATAATATATTTTAATTAGTAAATTAATTAATATTGTTATTTTTGTCTTATCATTTTTTTATTCTGCATGTTTGAAGATGACATTATCAGGAAAATGTCAGATAGTCTTGAACATCAAGACACCTGATGAGATTAAAGAAGAATCATGGACTGCAGTAACTCTCATCAAGGAATTGAACACACCAGAGTCATCAATAATGTGGTGTGCGGAAAGGCGTCTGTTGACAAATGAACGCCACTGCACCTCGTGCAGCAAGTCGCTTTGTTTGACGGCAAATAAGAGTGTCATTGACAAATATCAGTGGCGTTGTAAGAAGTGTTCTGTTGTAGAATCCATTCGTAAAAAATCTGTCTTTCAAAATTGTCATTTAACTATTTTACAAATTATAATAATTATGTATTTTTGGTCAAGAGAGTATCCGTCCAGAATAGCTGCAGTGGAAGTTGAAGTGAGTAAAAAAGTGGCCATAGATTGGTATAATTTCTTTAGAGATATCTGCAAAAATTACTTTGATTCCCATCCAGTTCAGTTAGGAGGTTTGGATGATAATGGGTTTCCAAAGGTAGTAGAAGTGGATGAGACATTTATTTTCCATAAGAATCATAATTGTGAACAAACTAAAAATGATAGAAAATGCGTATTTGGAGGCATCGAACGTGATTCGCGAAAGTGTTTCCTAGTGGAAGTACCAAACCGGAAAGCTCAAACACTTTTTCCAATTATAGAACAATATGTATTGCCTGGAAGCAGGATTATATCGGATGACTGTTCTGCATATGCCAAAATTGGCCAAATAAATGATGGGATATATCAGCACGATAGCGTCCACGAACGAGATTTTGTGGATGGCATAGATCCAGAAATCCACACTCAACACATTAAAAATATGTGGTCAAGAGCAAAACAAAAATTAAAACATCAATATTATAAAAATACCAAATTATTTCAACCTTATTTATTAGAATTTCAATGGCGATGTTTGTTTAAAACTCATGCTTTTGAAAACTTTTTAATGTGTGTTTCAAATAAATATCCATGTTAATTTTTTAATTGTCTTTTTTTATGATGGAATTTGTACATCTTATATGTGTTCAATATTGATCATCTGATTTATCCCAGTCAAGATTCTCCTAAATTAATAGCTAATTAGATTTCAGTTTGCATCAACATTATTTGATGATTCTCCATTTACTTTTAAGTAATGAACATAACAATGACTATAGAGTAAGTAAAAGTTTATATTATATTTAATATTCATAAATCATATTTATATATTTTGAATAATTGTTGTTTTTAACATTTCATTGGCAATTACATAAAATATTATTTAGAAAGCTGATTTGGTTGCCAAACAAAATGTTTACTGGTTCTAACATATACATTAGCTTTTTTGAAGTAAACAAACAGCAATTGATGGCAAAAGTAGATCATTTACTACAAATTATGGCCATTTTTCATCTACATTAAAAACATTATGTAGATCAAATGTTACTATTTTATTTTATACCAGGGCTGTGGAGTCGGAGTCGTGGGGTTTTGGTGTTTTAGCCGGAGACGGAGTCGGTAGATTTTTACGCGACTCCACAGCCCTGTTTTATACAAGTAGAAAGGAATACGTTTCTATTAGAAGAAAAATTAAGCAATTTAAAGTTAGAAATTAAAATAATATACTAAATTAATATCTCAAGGTACACGCTAGCCTTATATTTCTCCCAGCAGGATGGAAAAAATTAACATAAATGTGAGAAAACTAAGACAAAACAAACTCATTTGGTCTACTACTAAGACCTGAAGCAGGTCTTAGAAGACCAAATAAATAATTGATTTTAATAATTATATAATATAAATTTAGGATTTTTAATTTTTCCATCCTGTAAGGTTAGTGTGTTTGTTATTTTAATTAACTGCCTGGTTGCTATAAGATTAGAACTTTAAAATTTAATATTGTTTTGTCTTTTGGGCATTAGGAGGGCCTTTTAATACGCACATCATGGATTTGGCTGGGTCTACAATGAGACAGCTGCATGATTAGAAATAAAGTCAGACTACCCATGAAAATTCCATAGGATCTAACTCAGACTCAAATCTTGGTCCTTCAGAGTGGCAGTTACATATCTGAACCACTTCAATCACATTCATTAAATTTAATTCAGCTTTGATATATAAATCCATGATTCTTAACCTGTTCATGTCTTAATGAATTCTCTTGTTACATTTCAAGTAAAATGACACCAAGCATGATCCCAGCTGTATTAAATCTTGTTGTATAAACATCTGCCAAGATTCTACATTAACTGATTTTATTGATCAAAATGTATAGCAGTAAATTTTAACAGTACAGAATAGTTAATATACAATTGATTGAAAGAAATAGCATTTTCTTCTGCCTCTGTATTAAATCAAAATCATTCTGTTATGAGCATGCTTTCTAACATGCATTCATTTAAATAGAATAAGCCTTAAAAAATATCAAGTGTGTGACAGATCTATTTTTGATTTTATTTCCGTATTAGACATACTATTTTTATCCTTTACTTTAAATTATTTTTCTTCCCCTTAAAGGGATCATAGTCTCAATTGAATGGCAGTGATTTTTATAAGGAAGAGAAGAGACAATATGAAATATGTAAGTATTTAGCTTCCAATTTTTCTCTTAAAATAAATTACATATTTATCTGAAAATTTGTTTATAGGCATTTCCTATATCTGTGAATAAAGTTTAATGTAAGTTTGCTAATCAAGTTGTCCAGTAAGAATCTACAGAGTTGCTGCTACTGTTGTCAAACTGATATGAATTAATACATCCGGTCCAATGATACTTGCTTGGATGAGTAAAATATTTTCTTTTTTTATATAATTTTGAGTATTTATTCAACAATGGAAGTTTTCTGAAAAATAAGAAATATATTTGTGAATAAATATTTATTATGGAACAAGTTTAACTTTGTATTTTAATGAACTTTGATATGCAGTTAAAGCTAAAATATTTTCCAAACTGATCAATATATAAACTTTTTTCTATACGATGATGATATGCAAATAATACTACCTAATTTCTCAGATATTATATTGTAACAATAATAGTAAAGACTGTACAGAATTACTTTATTGCATAAAATTACTTTGCAAATGTTAATCTGAATGTTACCTGTTCCACAAAATGAGCAACATTTCTGGATTTGGCATAACGCAAATTCATATTAGTTATTATTTACTGACATATTATACTAAACTGCATCAACTTGCAAATAAGTCTTGAACTTCAATTCTTTCAATCTGATAACAAAGTTTAGAACAGTTCTAGATTATAGATTTGAATCCTGGATAATTATTAAATTTAATGAGAGAGATAACTCCTAACGCCTACCTCTAATATCAAATTACTTAAAATTTAATTATTAATGGTAGCGAAAAATAGTCCGACGCATTACGGAAGTCATTTGGCTCTGATTAATAACATTGGGTTTTGAGATGTTTATATTCGTATCCTGCTTTGGACATGAATGTTTATCAGAGTTTAATGTATAAAATGTATATATAAAACTTGAAATTTTTGTTGATTTGTTTAATGTTCTACTTTTATATAACAAAACTAGTTATGATCAGAAATGTATTTTGATAGTTTTTAAATTACTATTTGAAGATTTTACAAATCTTGAATGCTAAAATTTTTTTATATATAATACTTTTCACTTTGTGTTTTTAACATATACATATGTCTGGACAACCAAGATGCTTTACCATGTTGTAGAAGTATCGGCCTTCCACTCTGGGGATGCAAGTTTGAGTCTGGGTAGACACAGATATATCAAGCCATATCTTTCATTATTCGGCCTTCCCATTGAGTTTGGCCAAATTCAAAATGGACATGGAAGAAGAGTCTCTTAGTGATTATAGGATGGAAAAAGTTTTAAAAAATTAAAACAAATATAATCAATTATATTAATACATATTGTTTAAATTGTTCACCAAAATTAGATTTAATTCATTGATACCTCTGTATACCGACAGAAAAAGAATAAATCAAATAAGAATTAATAATAATTTTTTATTAAACATAAATCAAAATTAAAACTTGTGTAAAGTTTTTTTTTTCTTTTTTAGAATTGATTTTATTCTCTTCATTTCATTTACAAAATATTCAACTATTAAAATGTTTTATTAATAGTGTTTGTTTACAAGAAAAAGAAATTAAATTTCTTATTACGCATTAACAAAGCAATATTTAAGGGCATTTATTGCTTTCTCCCATTCGTCGTCATCTATCTCTGGAAGATCCTGCACAAATTTAATTAATTTTGTTACAAAATTAAATTTAATATTAAAATAATAATCGATTAATACGATAACTTACTTTACGATACTCTTGAATGCATTTATTAACCTTAATAAAAAATTTAAATTTAGATTAATTGTAATCTTAACCATTAGATAAATGCAAATTACAATATTTTAAGTCAATTATATAATGACTTACATTTTTATCATTGAATATATCTGAATCACATGTATATGTGATAATTGCTTCTGATTTTTCAGGATAATGGTAATATTCGTTGACGCATTGATCGTAAATATCACTCAGCTATATTTTTGGATATAACTATAAAAATTCTAAATTCTTAGACGGATGAAAACTGGATAAAAGATTATACAGACCTCATCCATAATTTCTGGGCTTCTAGAAATAGAACACTCAAGAATTCTTGTTTGAAAATCATCAGGTAGAGCTGCAAAAACATATTTCTTTTTTTAAGAGATATCCAACGCTTGGTTAAATTTAAAACTGTGTAAATTCTTACTGCAATATGCTGCTTTTGCTTCATCTAACTGGAAAGCGTAAGCAGTACAAAAATGTGTTATAATTAAACTAAATGTAAGAAAGTGCTTCATGATGTCTGCTTCTTAAGAAAGAAATATAAAACAGAAATGTATTGTATAGGAAATAATTAAAGATTAACTATATCTTTTACAGGATGTTGTTAGTAGATATCTCTCAGTTAGAAATGAATGTACCGTACGTGTGCTGTTTCTTTAGATAAAAATTAAAAAATTCTGCGTGATTAAAAAAATATATTTATTTTGTTTTAATAACTGATTGAAAAGTCTTCTGAATTATTCTTAATTTCAGAAGAAAAAAAATAAGGCAACAAATTGTGATGCTTTGCTTAATTTTTATAAAATATACTGTATTAATAAAGAAACTCCCAAATATATTTGCTTTTTTATTTAATAAGATATAAAAATTACATACTTTTATTAAAATTTAAGTCATAATTAAATTCATATACATTTTATTCATTGATTCATCACTGAATGTTGATTTTTCTTCCTGTAAGATGACTGAGTTTTCTCTTAGAGTACAAATATTTTTAAGGTTGATGGGCTAAGGCAATGCAACATGAATGCAATCGGCCAAGGTGAGAAGGGTGCTTCCCAGGAGGAAACTTGCTGCTATTTAAGGATTAGACATGTAAAGAAAACTTTTGAAAACTCCATACAGCTAGGCGTAAATTTGTAACCAATTACCGGGTAGAAATTAACTTGAATATTCCTGTATGATACTACAACTTCTTAATCATTTGAACTTTTCTATGAAACACAGTGATATTTATATAAATTGTAGAAATATGTTGTAATTGACCTCAAAAAATTATAAATATGCCACTATACTTATTACAGGATTATTCTATGATGATGATTGCCATTTTTTGTTTAATTTTTATTATACTAGTGAGGATCTGAATGAGTTAAAAGTGTGTCAAAAACATTTAATCACAAATAATACTCAGGTACTTAAAGGTTTAGTGTTTCATTGATTTTACTTGTATTTAATGTGTTTGAATTTAACTTCTGGGATCTACTTCTAGCCTTTCTTTGTTGAAATAGTGATTGTTACCAGCACATTCATTTCCGTCAAAAGTGAAATAGGACTCGTCCATAACCTTCAGACCATTACGCAGAAGGAATTTTTTGAGTAGCAAGTTGTTTCGTTGTATATTTTGGAGAAAACTTTTGCTTCTTGAGTGCCACTTCAGGTTTCTTCAGAATGTGGCGAACATACAATCTGGTGTGAAATTTTCAATTTTCTTCCCAATTTTCTAAGCATTTGCCCAAATTTTTCTAAGGTTTCTCCCCTCAATTGTTTTCTCTTCCTTTGTTATTTTTCTTCTCTTTTCACCACTTTCCGTCCTTTTTACAGGTTTTTAGTTCTGAATGATGCTATACATTTTGCTGTGGAATCCCCAGAGCAATGATACAGATATTTTTAACTGTATAAGCTTTCTAATTTTTGCAATTTTCGGTATAAAATCTGCCAGTTACGTTTCGATCGAATTAATTTAATCCTTTCATTTTTAAAATGGAACATTATTTATGTAAACTTTTTCGATAAATGGAATCGAGAACATTCTAGAAAAAGGTATGCTATCTTGTCACATGCAATTATTCGAAATTACTGGAAAATGCTACTGAAATTTTGCAGATTTTTTAGTATACACTCATATCTTTACAGACTTCCATTCTGTTCATACAAAATATTATATGAATACTACTAATCTAATGTCTTACTTTGTCCCTATTTAAACTTTCAATTAGCATTAATTCTTCTATGAATTATTTTTACATAAAATTGTTTTTTTATTTGAATTTTTGTGCTCCCAAACTCTTGCACCTCTATTCAAGGACCAAGTAGACGTATTTCTCTAATGACCCTGGCTTGGAGCCCAGAACCCTAAATGGCTAAATCCAGAACTGTTTTTGATGCAACATTATATCACAAAGACACACAAACTACATAGATTTTATAAATTTGTTATATCCTCCTTTGTATTAAATCTTTTAAACCTCGTTCTAAGATTTCGCTTTTAAGTAAGATACAGAAGAAGTTATGTAATTGAACCCGGAATCTTACATTAGTCAATTACCTTTTATAAATGTATTATTTCAAAATGCTTTACTACATTAACTGTAAAAGTTTTTAATTCGATACATTTATTTTAAATAATTATCTGGAGAATTCTGGCATGCGTGTTGTGGGTTTAATAAGAGATTGGACTTCTGTGCAATCTCTTATTAAACAGTCGCACGGAGGCCAGAGTGAGATGGTGAAATACCTTGAACAAGTATGAACAAGCACACAGAGTTTTAACTGTGTAGTGCTATTAGTTTGGTGTGAGGAACTGTTTGAAATAAATGTATTTTTTTCATGCATCAGAAAAACGACAAGCTTGAAAATAGAGGTGTGTATCAACATAAAATTTTTTGATGAAATCGAAGAAAATTGACACAGCATCTTTTCACCTGCTACGTGAAGCTCCCACATGCATGTCTTGCATATGTGTGTTCAAATGACACAAGATTTTCTGCACGTCGAAGACAATGACCTTACTGGACGCCCCAGCACATCAAAAACCAACTAAAAAACGTAAAAAGTCAATGAAATTGTTTGAAATGATCAAAGACTGAGCATAAAAATAATTGCAGAAATGACAAACATTGATTACATTATATATAAGGCTGGTAACAAGCGGTTAAGATTGCAGCCTACTGCCGTGGGGATCCAGAATCTATACAGCAGTGGTCGGCAACTGGTGGTCCGCAAGAAAATTTGGGTGGTCCATGGAGAAATTTGGACATTGATCAACTGAAGGTTATGTGAAATATTACAAAAGAAATGCAAAATGCTTAGTTGCTTTTTTCATTCATTGGGATTTTTCTATTTGAATTTAAAACCAAATACGAAGTGACTGTTATAAAAAAATAATGAACAATAAACAATATTGTGAGTGCAATTGTCATCCTACGTGGAAAAGCACTATGAATCCATAAACTTATTTCAAACAAGCAGTAACGAACTTTAGGCTTGCATCAATTTGTTATAATTAAACAAGGGAGTTTCATATTAATAAAGTAAAATTGAACTTT